ATTGTGTGTATGTAATCTGTATTTGTGATGACAGTACATGTATGTATCGTGAAAAAACATTAGGAAAGCATACACACAACATGTATGTTAAATGTAATTCTATCCAGATGGAATTTGGGATTTTAGATGCTGCCTCTCAAACATATCCCCCAAAAAGTTACAAGAATCTCGTATGTTTACTCACATGGTGCTTCAAATTTTCATCTTAAATTTGTAAGAATTTAAAAAATAATGTTAAAGGAATAAATATGCATAGATACTTGGTTTTTGACTACAGTGTTCCAATTTTATCAGTATATGTAGGAAATTTTAAATGATATTAGGCTATGAAATCTATGTTTGGTTGTGAGCAAATACAATGTATGGTTGTTGATGGCTGTGACAGCTGAATTGATGTCTACTTGACATATGCTTATCTCTGGCAACACACTCTGAGACATCCTAAAACTTTAATCATTGTCATAAAACCTCCTTCCTTGGGGAGTGTAGCAATCACTTCATATAGGTATGATTTATAGGCAATGATTTTTATGTTACTAATTCTGTTGTTGAATGCAGAGTCAAATTTAAACCTAGTGATTCTGAAAACCCACTCAGATACACATTGCCTACATGAAATATATAGTAAAAGCTTTTGTGTTTAGCACTCTATCAGATTTATGACTATATTATCAATTTTATATTTACCGTTGTTGTCATATAAAGACCACTAAACAGATTGAAACATGCAGATAATAAAATATTAAAGATTCTATGTTCATCAAGTAAATAGTATCCATTTCTCTTAATTATTCATATCCCAGATCTATGTTGATTTCTTAAGGACATCACAAGATAAAAGGGAATGAAAGTGTTTGCAAGGAGTGATGTTACGACTCAACCCTAGGCAGTATGCAGATCTTTCAGTTAGAGAGTTACTGGTTAATTTTATTGCAAACAATTCTTTTTCCTGACGAGTATTATTTTTGTAATCATAGCATCAATAGGTCTCCACTTCATGAGAGGTGAGTGTCTGAAATTGTGTGCATATAAAAGCAGTAAAACATAAAACTGCAAAAACTGTGGAATAATGTGATCGATAATATTCCATGACTAATTGTTACCCTTTCATTTGGATCCTACTCCTGGTATTGAGGTATGCGAGAGACATGGCAAAGCAGCATTTTGTGAAAAATAAACCAAAGAAAATATTATTATTTTTTCTTCTGAAAAACCAGACATTATAATGTCTATTTTTAAAAACATTTATACCTGCCGTAAATGTTTGTAATTCAGATAAAACATTCACTGTAATAAAAGCAATATACTGATATGGATGAATTCATCCCAGACATATTTGATGATGTTGAGATTATAAATGTTGTATTTTATGAGCAATTCTCAGATCTCAAAGATAAAACCACCTTTATGTTTCAATGGCATACATAAAAAGTGTTTTTCAAAGTGAATTAAATGCTCGAACATGAGGAATAAATGATGACTGTATATGTTGTACC